TTATAGTGAATTCATAATGCCACATGGGGACATTTGCAAGGGCAAGATAAGTTTCCAAAGATATGTACATGTGATATGCATTAGCTTACTTATGGTATCTTTAGCTTACATGTGGTATCTTTTCGCATCATATAACATTGCCCTTTGCATTGCATCCTAGCAAGTAAATAGTTTTTAAATTCCAAAATTTTTATTATTTGTTTTTTTTTGTCGTGTTGTCATTAATCACCAAAAAGGTGTGAGATTGTAAGAAAAATGGATTCTAGGACCATTTACTTTGGATTTTGGCGTTTGATGGCCAACACAACCAAATTGGACTAATGAATTTGTAAGTAATTGTTTTGTAGTTCAATAGGGTGCAAGACGTGACTTGGACAAAGGCAACATCATGATCCCATGATCAACACCATAAGCAAGACCCTAGAAGCACAAGAGAAGACCCAAGATATCAAGCACAGTCCAAGCATAAAGATGGAAACCAAGCTGGACGCAAGATCGCGAGGAAACAAGCTCCACAAAGGTGACAGGACGTGGCCATATGAGTGATCGGATGCGTCTGTTCAGTTGCTCAGCAACAGCAAGCGTCAGCAGCAGCGATCGGACGCTGAGCGAGGTAGTGATCGGATGCATGGACTTTACTATTCATCATCGCGGCAATAATTCAACGTGACCGGACACAGCGGCTGTGGACGACCAGACGTGCCAGGCAGTGGCGTTCGATGGAGTCCAGAAAGGTTCTAGAGCGGCGCTAGCGCGACCAGACGCGTTCGATCGATGATGACCAGACTCGGCCTAGAGTCCGATCAACGTGCGCGCTCCAACAGTCGGGACAACCGGACACGTCCAGTCAGGACGACAGCAGTGTCCAGTCAGTAGCAGAAAGCTGGGTTTCGTCCCCAACGGCTACTTTCTCCATGGGGCTTATAAATAAACCACAACCGGCCATTTGAGTAGTGGAGAGTTGAAGAAACATACCAAGGGTATTGATATCCCATTTTAGTGATCTCCACTTGCATAGTGCTGAGTGATTCATTAGGTGATTAGCGTAGGTGCTTTGCGAAGTGCTTAGGTTGATTAGAGCACTGCTTATGCGCTTGCTCTATGTTTAGGCCTAGTGTTTAGTGAGGTTTGCATACCTCTTACCACTCGGTGCTTGCACGCACCATTGTTGTACATTGGAGGGGCTTGTAGTCTTGCGAGATCACACCAACCGCGTTTGTGGTGTGGCCGCCACCGTGTACCGAAGAGAACAAGGTCCGTAGCGTTTCGGCCGAAAGCTTGATAGTGAAGACAGTGAGGAGCGGTCCGAGAAAGGCTTACCGAAAGGCACACCGGAGACCCACTTGCGCGTGGGGAAGGCCCGGAGCTATCCACGGAGTTACCCGACCGGGATCTTGGCCCTTGCGAGGGATTCCTTTCGAGGGGCTCCAACGAGAACTAGAGGGAAGCTTGCGCGCTTCTCGATACCTCGGTAAAAATACCGGAGTCGTCGACGGGAGTTTGCATATCTCTACCTTACTCCTTAGCTTCCGCATTTATATTGTTTGCATAACTCCTTTTACGGTAGAGATAGCAACACGCTAGCAAAACCGTAGTTGTACATTTAGGTAGTTTATCTTTTTGCATAGGTTTTGCTAAGGATAGAAAAAGACGCCATAGTTTTAGAGTTAGAGTTTTAAGTTGCCTAATTCAACTCTCTCTTAGGCGTCACGGTCCCTTTCAGACACACCACCAAAAGTTAATGGATCCAAAAATACAGTTTGAAAGTTGAGAGACCTAAATGACACACCACCAAAAGTTAATGAACCTACGGTGCATTTAACTCTTTATATAAAGAAGTATTAGCATTCAGGATTAAAAAATAAGTATGATTAGATAGTTATAGAATATATTTTCATAATAAATTTATTTAAAGACATAAATGTTAAGTACTATTTACTATAAACTTAGTCAAATTGGAGTCAGTTTGACTGACACGGATCTCATAATTGTATTCTTTTGCGGATGGAGAGAGTAGTTATAGTCTATTTACTTGGGCCCAACCTTAAAGTGTGCATGAGCAATCCACATTGCCCTTGCCCTTATTGTATATTTCCAACTAATTATTGAGAAACTCTAATTCAAACCAAAAGAAAATTTGAAGACTCGAGGACAGACGAAAATATTCAAACCACACATGCGCATTCCTGTTCATGTTTTTCTTGTATATATGGTGTAAAAAATAAGCAACAATAAGAATATGATAATCCAAGAAATACATACTCCACATATAAAATAACGACATTTAATTTTGGCTGTCGCAGGGATTTATGTACGGAATCCGTTCGAGCATGTGTTCACACCCGCCGCCGCCATGCCTGCGTGACCCAAAAGTATATTTTATAGCGACCTGCCACTGCTAGAACGCAGTCCTTATCTCTGATCAAAACAAAACAAATGTTTAGTACAGTAGAGGAGAAGTTAAAGAATAGCAAGAGAAGTACTACGTAGGGGTCCAGTATATGCAGTGAACTAGAGATTTGACCACACATTAAACAAAGAGAGTTTCGGTTAGTCCAAACCAGTCAGCCAACAATGTTTTTCTCTAAAAACCAGTACCAGCCAATCCAAACCAGCACCAGCACCAACCAGCGAACAAGCCCATACTAATATATTCATCATAGCATGGATAAACTATCACTCCGTTCGCATGATCGTATCAGCTATACTTATTACTCATGATACAGTCATAATAAAACAGCATCAGTTGACTTATAAACCACAAAAACAATCAAACTAACAGGACGTATGCCGTTGCAACAACCTTGAGAATTTTACAGAAAGATGCCCCCAAAAGCTGAGACCCTCATCGGATCCGATGATTGGAACTAGCTAGATCTCATCACATCAGGTGATCTGGACTAGATCTATCTCCTCCTTGCTTCAGTGTTTCTAGCAGGAGCACATAAGTAAAATAAATCTGAAAAGGTTAAATGTACTTAAAAGGAAATTGCAAAAGGTCCCCATTGCCCATTTGGGGCCTGTTTGGAACACCGGAAATATTTCCCGTTCCTGCATTTTTTCTGTGAAATTGAACTAATTCCTGTGAAATTCCTGCGCGATTTCTACGAAATTCCTGCGTTCCAAACAGGCCCTTGGAGTGCAGTCTAAGACATGATGCCACTTATATTTTCCACCACTATGAAGTCAATTAGCGCGCACACACGAAGATTAGCATAGATGCACAAACAAAAAAGGCACACCGAATTAGAGGATAGAAAAGTAATCAGCACAAAGGTCAAGCTTTCTTTTATCAGCAATGAAGTGCTTGCTGCATATGAAAAATAATACAATATCTTTGATTTCAGGAATTTAAGCATTTTAAGTATTCATGAATTAGCATTTTAATAAAAAGAGTCATATGTAGTTTGAAAACAATTGAACTAGTTAAATGTTTCATTGCCTTTCCTAATGTTGCTAAATTTATCCTAAAATTATTGGTTGTTTGGAATAATAAAAAATAAATATTTTGGTGAATCTTCCAATGATACACAAGTAATAGCTTATATATCAAAATCAATACAAATTTAATTGATTAGTATAAGAAAATAATTTTTTTTGAAAAAAAATATACTCCCTCCATTCTGGAAATAATAAGCATAATTTGACCATGAAAAAGCCATACAAAGCCTTGATCACAAAGCCGCTTTGAATACAAATCCATCGATACAAGTTTTATATTCTAGACGTATATAATTTGAGTAATTGTTGGTGAAAGTTTGTATAAGTTGACGTTTTCTTGTTTGAAATATGATTACCATTTCGTGACAAATGAAGTACGTAACTTGCAGAATATTATTATACTAAATATATGCATTTTAGTGGGATTAAAACTCTTAATGATAACCTCTTTGCGATAAGCTATGTTAAATTTCACTTATTTACACCACTTAAATTTCACTTGTTTACACCACTTGAAAAAATATGACGTCCTAGTAAATTTTTTAATTATGTTTAAAAATTCATAAATGTTTTCCCCTTTCATAAAAGATCGAGAATAAATACAAAACAAGATACCCATTAATACTACGCCCTTCAGGAAAAAAAAGATATAGGGCTTGATCGGTTGGCTTCCAATTCTTGCCCAACCAAAACCATGGCATGCCAAAATTTTAGTCATCAATAGGTTCATTGCCAAAGAATTGGGACACCAATGTTTATGATCAAAGTTTTAGCAAAGTCTCTGAAAAGTTGTTAAACTGCATAAAAGAGAAAATGCTGACATAAAAAAATAAAAGAGAAAATGCTTTCTATTATTGTTATGGCAGTCAACCAAATGCACACCTATGTTTTTTTCCTAACTTTAACAAGCCTTGATTTTGGCAAGCCAAAGGCTTGCCATGACTTTGATTGGGCACAAATTTGTAGCCAACCAATCAAACCCACAATTCTAAAATACTGTGAACTCAAACCATCTTAATATCAACAAGGTATAGGGCCTGTTCGCTGGTTGGTGCTGGTGCTGGTTTAGGCTGGTTGGTGCTGGTTTTTTGTGAGAGAAAAATACTGTTGGCTGACTGGTTTGGACTGGTTGAAACCAACAAGCGAACAGGCTGATAATTCCAAGGAGTACAATATAAGACTGTCTCCAACAACCGCGACCCAAAATAAAAGATTCATTTATCTTTTGGGTAGCACTACAGGTAAAGAGTTAGGTTATGCCTCTCCTAACACTAAAAATATGTCTTTCATATAAATACACTGTTGAAGGCTATATACGTTACGTTGAAGACCCATTTTAATTTTGGGTTGCACGACCAAATTATGGAGGTCCCTTGATGCAAAAGCCACCATACCATTTGACCCCTGACCAGTGAGCCCCCTGCCCCACCACACCTCCTCCCCAAGACAGAGCGGCCGCCAAATTAAACTTGACCACTTCCTCTCTTTCTCTCTCAACTCGCAGTCCCTCTCTCTCTCTCTACTCTCTCCATCCCCCGCTTCTGGGAAGCTCATCAGCCATGGACGACGCCGCAGGAGAGGAAGAAGCTTCCATGTAAGTTCCTCCTCCCAAATTTCCATCGCTTTTCCTCGCATCAGCACTTATAAATACTTGCTGCATCAGTCGCGCACAAAAAAGCTAGCTGCTTCGGCTACCTTTCGCGCCCAATTGGAGACGCACCCCGAACCAAAAAAAAAGAAAGAAAAAAAGATGAGAATTTGATGCCACAAACAAGCTCAAATGCGTGGTCCTTTTGAAGGTTCGAGACCAGCCATGTCCTGGGCGCGCTGCTGGCCTCCTCACCGCTGCTGGCGCGCGCCTGGGACCGCTGCACGGCCGCCACCGCCGCGGCGCCCGGGTTCGTCGTGCACGGCGAGGAAGACGGCGGCAAGGTGTACGTGGGGTTCTCCGGGGTGCAGGCCGCGCTGTCGGCGGCAGGCGCGGCGGTGGCCGGCGGCGGCGGCGGCGCAGACGTCTTCGCGCCGGTGGGGCTCGGCGGCGGCAGGGACGCTGCGGCGGGGCGGATGTTCGCACCGCTGGTCGCCGCCGAGCCCGACCCGGCCGCTGCCGCGGGGGAGCCGGTTGCTGTGCAGGCGCTGGCGCTGCAGTGCTTCTTGAAACTCTGCAGCTCTCCTGATTTCCAGGTAACTTAACTCACTGATTACTGCTCCTCCATTGAAAATATCTGCCTGATTAGTATCGTTTACTTTATGCTTAGCGCGTTAATTGGAGCAGTTTGCCTTGCCCACTAATAATTTGACTAAAAGATTGTCATTTTTTAAGCTGCGCGTTCATGTGATGATCTGCAGTTGATAGTATCAGTCATGATTATTAATCATGATATAATATTTTTCTACCGTACTTCCTCCAGTTCTCTAAAACAAGCCAGTTATTTTGAGGTTGTCTTAAGTCAAATATTTTAAACTTTGACTACAAATAACTTTTTTTGGGTTGAGTTTGAAAATATGAAAGTGATGTAAGTAGATTCATCTTAAAATGTAGTTTCGTAAAAGTATATATTGACTATATTTTATAAATATTTTATAGCAAAAAATTACCATTAAATTTTTTTTTTAAAGATCGTATCAATGTCCAAAATGACTGGCTTTATTGGACCAAAGGGAGTATAAAACAGCAACAACCGACTTAAGCTACACGGCCGCGGATATTTTTGCTTTTCTTGTTGGCTGGGGGCGGAGTTATTGTGATGGTGATGTGCCTGTCTTTGGTTGTTGCCGTGTCCTCGTGTTCAGACACATGCACTGAGATATGAGATATTTTAATTCCAGTGTCAGTCATTCAGTATTTTAATAGAGCAAATATTTTTTTACGACAAACGAGATTTATATATTTCAACAGCATCGAGCTGTGAGTATAGATACAGTGTATCATTACAGATTGCAGTGCATCCACTAAAGGGCACTGAGAGATATGACCTGTGTTGGTACGGGAATAACAAATTTTTTAACTTTAATTAGGTTTATATAAAATAGTGCAACATTTATATCTTCAAATAAATTTATTATGAAAGTATATTCAACGATTTACCTAATGATACTAATTATATACCATAAATATTAATATTTTATTAAATATATTTGGTCAAAATTAAAAGTCGTTAACTTTTTGGAAAGCAAGAATAACTCTTTTTTTAAGGACAGAGGGAGTATTAGTAGCAGCCTTAAACTCTAGGAAAGCCTGTTTTGCTAGAGTGTCCGCCATCTTGAAGATCCTTGTGTTTCTTGACTGTGTGTAGTCTAGAAACTGTTGAGTAAGAGGTTTGATTCTCCAGTCAGGAGCAAATAATTTAGCCAGTCAGAAATTTAACAACATTGTGGGATGAAAACAAAACGAAATCCTTCTCTGGGCAAACAACACTTCAGTGCCTATTTCCTTCTCTCCGGTGATTTCATTTCTTATAACAGTTTGCCCTCTCTGGCATAGTAAGAGTTTGTGAAGTTTACTTCAGACCTCACCTCAGAGCTCAAAGCTGGGTGTGTGTGTACAGAGAACAATCCCTGTCAAATTTGGCGGCTAACTTGAGATGCTATGCATCTGTTTTCTTATGTCCCAGTGCAAACAAAAAGTACAAGCACATGGCATACTAGATCACAGTACCCACCAAAAGTTGCTGTTGCTCCTTTATTGTCGCTTACAGCTGATGCATTTCTTAGGGCCCATGAGCAACAGAACAGGTGATAGTGACAAGGCATTTAAAATGCACTGCAGTGTGGTTCATGATTGGACAGCTTTATGCACCAAATGCATAGATATAGATCTGTAGAAATTTCAAATTCTCAAAATTCTTCGACTAAGATATGGAGAATGACTGATCTGGAGGAATAAAATCTAGTAAACATGATGAAGAGTTGTACTTCAGAGTTTACTGTCATTCAGAATTCAGGCTGTTTTCACCGGATATCTTTTGCTCTTCTATAATTTCAGATGACCACACAAAAAAACCTGTGATTACTTTACTTATGATTCATGCATTTGAACTACATTCCACTATTGTAGAATACATTCCACTATTGTAGAATAATAACCTAAATGACCACAGCCTTGTGCTCCATCACAAATTCCATTCTTTTGTTGGTCTTTTGTTGGCGGAATTAAATTTAGTTCTTCAAATATCTGTAGAGAATCTTCAGGTTTCGTTGATCTTTTGATTTTAAGTTTCAGAGGACCACACCTTGTCTCCATCTTCTTGTATACCTTTATCACTTTTGCCTTTTTTAATCGAGTGACCTAATTATTGTTCATAAAACTATTGAGATGATCATTTTCCATGATTTTTTTTTGTTCTAGTATGAGTACTGTCTGTCACTTTATGCAGCTAATGATTCCATTCTCTCCAATCTTTACTTTTCAACCTGCCTCACTGAAATTATGCTACTAAAAGTTCACATTGTGTTTTGCCACACTGAAACTGTGACTTACTCATCAGAATTGGCTGACATTGCAGATGCTACTGAATGAGATCAGGGGCAAGGCAGTCGTGTTCACGGGCCACTCCCTCGGTGGCGCCATTGCGGCCCTCGCGGCGCTACACTACCTCTGCATCTCATCGTCAAGCTCGCCATGGGCACCTGTTCCTCCTGTCCTGTGCGTCACCTTTGGAAGCCCATTACTAGGCAACGAGGCGCTGTCCAGGGCCATCCTGCGTGAGCGCTGGGGTGGTAACTTCTGCCACGTAGTTTCACAGCACGACGTCGTCCCAAGGCTCCTCTTCTGCCCGCCGGACGCCGTCCCCACGCACATCATTGTCGGAATGCAACTGCATCAATGGCCGACACGGACTCACCAAACAGGCGCGGTGACCACGGTCACCATGCGCATGGCGGACACTGACAAGGACGCGCTCCGGCAGCTGATACAGTTGCACGTTGGCGCTGTGGCCATGGAGCAGAAGCTTGCCGCTCCAGAGACGACAGGCAGGAGCCCGTACCGGCCGTTTGGTACGTACGTGCTGTGCTCCCCCGAAGGCGCGGCGTGCGTGGACAGCGCGACGGCCGCGGTACAGATGCTGTACGCTACCTTCGCCTCTCGGAGCTCGCCCGGCGCAGAGTCCCCGGAGGCAGCGCACTCCTGCTACGGCGAGCTCGTTTTGAAAATGCCACAGCATTTGCTCCTTAAGAGACGCCTGCGTGTGGGCGACACGCCGGCCACGCCCAACTACGACGACGGTGTCTCCCTCGCGTTGGAGGCCTCCGGCATCGACGCCATGGTGAGGGCACACGTACGTACATACTTTTTGTCTGCGTGTATAAAACTACAGCGCGTGTTCTGTGTAGTATATATATCTTGTCTGACATGCTGGCATTGCCACCGGCGGCGGCAGGCCATGGAGGCGTCAACGGCGCGGCAGTGGCTGAAGACATCGAAGCGGGCAGGGCGGCGGCCGAGCCTGAACTGCGCTCGCCTGGCAACGCAGCTAGGCCGGATCACGCCGTGCCGTGCGCAGATCGAATGGTACAAGGCGCTGTTCGACGCTGAGATGGGGTACTACGACGCGTTCAAGCAGCGGCGGTCGCCCAGGAAGTACTCCAAGGTGAACTTCAACCGCATCAAGCTGGGCCAGTTCTGGGACCGCGTGCTCACCATGCTCGACGCCGGCCAGCTACCCCACGATTTCCACCGCCGCGCCAAGTGGGTCAACGCCGCCCGCTTCTACCAGCTCCTCGTCGAGCCTCTCGACATCGCTGACTACCACCACCATGGCCACCACCGGACGAGCGGGAGCTACATGACCCACGGCCGGGAGAGGAGGTACGAGCTGTTCGACAGGTGGTGGCAGGAGAAGGCATGCACGGGCGGCGCCGGCGGCGACGTCACGTCCTCCATGTCGGCAGCGTCGGCGAGCAGCCGGAGACGCAGCAAGTACGCCGGGCTCACGCAGGACCCGTGCTTCTGGGCGAGAGTGGAGGAGGCGAGGGAGCAGACGGAGAGCGCCCGGGGCGAGCGCGATGTGGGGGAGCTGGCGATGAAGCTGGAGGAGCTGCAAGAGTTCGAGTGCTACTCCCGTGAGCTGGTGGCGAGCAAGGAGGTGTCTGTCGACGTGCTCGCGCCGCAGTCGAGCTACACGCTGTGGGTGGAGGAGTGGAACCAGCTCAAGCTCAGGGATGAAGTGAGGACAATGTTGCTTCGGTTTTGAGCTGGGCTGCAAACAGCTGATGAATTCGTAGGTAGCTGATGGGCATTCTCCAAATAGTTCAGATATACATGAATCATTGGGTCATTGTCCATGGATGCTAGTATAGGTGATTGTAAATATATGTAAAACCTAGAAGCACTGCAGTGGATTGCAAAATATTTGTTCTTTCATGGGTACCTTGATGGCCTGATACTGATTCACTTTATTAAGTACTGGCTATTAAGCAAGGAGGCATGAAAACAGCTGAAGGAAGCTAGATGGTCCACGATTTCCAAAAGTTCAGATATGGATGGATGGATGCCAGTAAACTCCAATACATGTAGGTGGTAGTGGTACCTTACTCCCATCACTCTTCTTCTATCAATTCTTGTTGCTCCCACCTCTCTTCTTCCATTACTCGGTCCATTATCTATTGGGTGTGTCTCTGTGGCAAGTGACTGATGATTTGCTTAACCATCAATCATGTTCTGTGATGTATTTGTGTGATGTTCACGTAATATACATGTAATGTTCACGTAGTACATGATGTTCTACAATGTTGTGATGTTCACGTAGTATGCATGTGATGTTCTATGATATTTTTTGCGATGTTCAAGTGATACACATTACACATGTAATGTATGTTATGTGATGTATTTTAATGTTCTGTGATGTTCTTAGGCGGCCGCTAAAATACATATGGTGTTCTGTGATGTATTTTATAATGTTCTATGATGCATTTTGTGATGTTCCGACAGTATACATGTGATGTTCTGCGAAATTTGACTGACAAGAAAACAAAATATCAGACAACTATATTTGAGTAAAACTCTTATCTCTTACATGTTTGAATGCAAAATCTCACTAGCATCACACCACTCATGTCGGGACCGGAGACCATGCATGTCGCATCTTGGCATGCACACATGTGACTATCTTCTAATTTTTTTAACCTCACAACATATGTAAACAATTGCCACATATTTAAATTGAGTCAATCTCCAATAAATTTCTCAAATGGGATTAATCCGTTGTAGCTAGCATTATATTGAGTCTTAAGATATAATTAAAGAGCGCTCTCAAAAAAAGATTAGGTCTTGTCAATTAAATCTAACAAGATAGCTAGCCAATTATAGGTCTTATGACCATACAATATGTTGTACGTCCCGTGCAATACACAGGTATGTTTGCTAGTAAAATATAAAATAAGACCATGTTGCATTTAGGGACAATTTAGAAACTTTTTTTTTCTAGAAAGATGTTGAAATTCAACTGATTTATATCAACACAATCACATAAAAGCTCTGGTGCTTGAAACAGCTTCTTTGGTGTGCAAACCAAACAAAATATTTTATGACCGCAGGGGAGGGGGCAGGGTGTACAGTTTTCATTGGAAATTTCAAATTTAAATAAATTTTAAGAACGGTTGCACTGCTAGCCCCCTAAACAAAAGAAAATTCACATTTATGGCATGACAGATTTAGGTAGACGCTAAAAATCAAGCATGATCCGTTTTGCATATATCCGGCACATAGCTTATGTACTTTTGAAATTAAAAGTTCTTCCCGAAATGTTATATTTAAAATTTTGATTATTCTGTTTGCCTTAAAATGTTTTATAAAAATCCAGGAAAAATCATCTAAATTCAATTTCTCAGCATATGTGGTTTGGGGACATCTAAATTTTTTTAACAAAGTGCATGCTCAAAACTATTTGTTTTTAAAATTTAATTTAGAACCATTTAAAACAATATCAAAGTTTTCAAGCATGCTAAAGATATCTCCACACGTGGGGATTGAAGTTTAGAAATTTTTGGGCTATTACACTAGGCTCTGTTGAAAAAGAAGTTTTTTTTTCTTGACATATATAAAGGTTTGGCGACACACAGCCAATTTTCTTACAGGGCCAGTGTTGGCCCACGAAGAAGCGAGCAAGTTTCATTTAGTTTTTTTATGGGCCATTTGGCCCATAGACGCTCGTTGCCATTGGAGGAGATATGGGCAGGGCCGCTGGACCTCTTGCATATGTTCTCTTGAACCTGGAACAACTTTCTCGCATAGCTAGAACAATTATCGCTGGGCCTGCAACATTTTCTTGTGAATTTGGAATGTTTTTCTCATGAAGTTGAAACATGCTCCTAAATCTGAAAAGAATTTTCGTGAATCTAGAATAATCTTCTCCCTAACATGGGACCATTTTCTCATTAACCTAGAACAATGTTCCTCTAAATAAAATGTTCCATCCACATGACGAAAATGGTTCGTAGAGAATATGTAATCCAAATGTATCCAATTGCAATGTTATTTGTGCTGTAAGAAATAGAATGTTCAATTGAAATTCAACTTGGCTGTTCTATTTGGAAACTATGGTCGTGTTAAGTTTTGAGATAAGATGTTTATTTGTTGTAGCTGGATAAGAGCATCTCCAGCAGTTCCTAACTAATCTATCCCAATATGTATGTGTTGAGGTAGCCCAATATTATTTTTTTTAATATTGGGAGAGTTGTTGTAGCAGTACCCAATATATCTCCTCCAATGTCTTTATGAAAGGTAGGATCTCACAGGAGCGTAAGAGGATGGCTTAAAAGCAGTAGTTGGGGTGGTATACAACTTTCCCTTTATTCGAGGAAAGATGAGCTAGTGAAACATTGGTGATCACCAAAATAATTAAGGAACTACCGGAGAAGAAAAAAAATAAAGTTTTATGGGATAGAGAATGTAGTGGGGAACTACCGGAGATGCTCTAATATCAACAATTCTAATTTTCTCTTCACTAAAACGTGGAACTGTGCAAGTAATGGCAGAACACGTACGGATCAGTAAAAGCAAGCTAATCGTCAACCCCACTACTCCGGCAGAACAACGAAACCTTGAAGGTGGAAAGAAGATGGGCCTCGGCCTACAAACTTGGGATCACACAATACTTGAGCCCATTATCACAGTTATGTTGAGGCCTTTGCTAAAAAAAATCATGTTGAGACAAACGAGTTCTCCTCAAAAAAAAAAAAGTTGAGACAACGAGGTATTCGTCAATGCAAGCGCAAGTGTTTCTGGATTCTGTTAGTTTTCCTCACAAGTCACAACAAACTTGGTTCCAAGCAAATCTCTGTCAGACTGTATACCCTATCCCTAGCACCCCTGGCACCGTTATTTTGTTTTAGAAATATAATGATGCTACATAATTTCCTTGCCTTAATATCGTGGTTGACAGGTGTGAGGTGACGATCGATGATGTTGTTCCACTCTTAGAGTGAGCAAGCAAGCTGAAAGGAAAGTAAGTGGCCCAAAATATTTCTTATGGTACATGTGGACTTTTGATCCAAGGTGGTCCTAGACATTGGGCAAAACTCTTGCTCCTAACCGGCATAGGCTTAGCGAGTCTCGTCCCATCCTATCCCATCCCCTTCCGCCCTTCGGGTGACACCGACTCCACGATCGAGTTTGTGAGTGCCGCAATCTTGATTGTGACTCTTCACTGTTTAGAGGTAAATGGCAAACGATTAGGTATATTTTTCAGCTGCACCTGAAAAATTGTGCATTTGAGAGAAGCTAAACAACAGCTTTTAAGGAGAAGTTGTTTCATCAGGACGTGTTTGACAGGAGAAGCTGAAAGATAGCTCCGTGAAGCTGAGGAAGAATCCCTACCAGGCGATCAAGAGTATTTTTTGAAACAAATCAGGCAGGAGAGCTATCGATTATATTAAAAAGTAGATGAAGCCCAGACTGAACAAAAATAAATAGAAACAACTTCGATCGGTTGGATTAGGACATCAACACGCACCGAAAACTTACAACTCAGAAGAAGAAGAAAACAACTTTGGCCGGTCGAATTGGGACATCGACCCGAGCCACAACTCAACAAATACACATGCTTTACCACCACCCAACCACCATGAACTGGTCACTGCACTGCACCGCCATCCCCCGAAAGACAAAGCCGTCAAGACGAAATCACCCTCGTCACTGCTTGTGCCATCGTTCCTGATGATGTCCCACACCGAGGAGCCTGCTGAAAGGTCCTAATGGCTAGAGGGGGTGAATAGCCTATTAAAAATTCTACAACAACACTTAGCAAAGATATTAGACAATTAAACGGCGAAGCGAGTGTTGCGCTAGCCTACTAAAAATGCAAGTCACCTACCACAATTCTAGTGACTATGATCTCTAAGCACACAATGGCTATGTCACTACACTAAGTTAGTGTGCTCTCAAAGACTAACTAAAGAGCCACACTAACCACTAGGCCCGACACAAGCTTGCTCTCAAAACTAATTACACTAAAGAGCGAAGCAACACTAGAAATGTAAATGCAACAGAGGTGGTGATGTTTATACCGATGTGTCAAGGTATGAGCCACTCACAAGATGATCACAATCAATCACAATGAATACCAAGAAATCCTCAGGCAAGATGACACAAGATTTTTTACCGAGGTTCACTTGCTTGCCGGTAAGCTAGTCCTCGTTGTGGCGATTCATTCACTTGGAGGTTCACGCGCTAATTGGCATCACACGCCAAACCCGCAATCAGGTGCCGCACAACCAACATAAGATGAGGATCACACAAGTCACGAGCAATCCACTAGAGTTGCCTTTGGCGCTCCGCCGGGGAAGGCACAAGAACCCCTCACAATCACAATGATCAGAGCCGGAAATAATCACCTTCCTCCGCTCGACGATCCACTAATCACCTAGCCATCTAGGTGTCAGCAAATACCAAGAGTAACAAGATCTCCATCAGCCTAAATTGCCCAACTAGTGCCACAAGATGTTAGAACACTAAGCAATGCACTAGAGGCTCTCCAATCTCACTCAAGATGAAGAAATAAAGTCTGCAAGTGAGTGGAGTGGTGTGCTCAAATCTCAAAGGGTGTATGCAAGTGTTAGAAGTGCCAAGAGAGTGGCCAAGGCTAGCCACTAGCTCTATTTATAAGCCCATAAGCAAATAGAGCCGTTACCCCTTTGGAGCAGCTTTCTGCGAGGGCACCGAACACAACGATGCCTGGCATCAGACATGGCGGTG